ATATATATATATATATATAGAGAGAGAGAGAGAGAGAGAGAGAGAGAGAGAGTAAGTAAAGGTTTAATAAACCATTCCATTTCAAAAATTAGATTTTTTTCTGACTGTTATTTTGTATGTCAGGCTTTACAGGGTTAAAGCAGTCAAGTCAGTTTTGAGTTCATGTTAACACTGAACTAATTTGATCTTTATCCTCCTCTGTCTTTCAGTCATCTCTCGCAGTCAAGTTCTTTGGAGGAAGTGCGTGTTGATGTGGATAAGTTCGTCCCTCCTGCACCGCGAAAGGTGGAAATGAGACGCGACCCGGTGCTCGGCTTCGGCTTCGTGGCAGGCAGCGAGAAACCAGTGGTGGTTCGATCAGTTACTCCAGGTATCCCATCAAACCGAGATGATTAAACTAGTTCTTCTGCATTTATTCATAAAATTGAGTCATTTTATGCAACATGAGTTTGTTTTTGAAATACATCTCTTCTGCTTAGCCAGGCTGCATTTATTTGATCTAACATACAGTAAAAATTTGAAATATTATTACAATTTAAAATGACTGTTTCTATGTGAATATATTGTAAAATGTAATTTATTGCTGTGATCAAAGCTGAATTTTCAGCATCATTACTCCAGTCTTCAGTCACATGATCCTTCAGAAATCAGTCTAATATGCTGATTTGCTGCTCGAGAAACATTTCTGATTATTATCAATGTTGAAAACAGTTGTGCTGCTGAATATTTTTGTGGAAACTGTGATACATTTTATTTTTCAGGATTCTTCGATGAATAGAAAGTTCAAAAGAACAGCATTTATTTCAAATAGAAATATTTTGTAACTTTATAAATGCCTTTACTGTCACTTTTGATCAATTTAATGGGCCCTTGATGAATAAATTTATTAATTTCTTTAAATTTTTTTATTATATTGTGTAAAGACAAGGAACACGGATGATAAGGAAACTTAATGGCCAAATAAAAAGTCCATTATCATGATGCCTTTTGTTAGAATTCCAGAAAATGAGTATAAAATAAACACAATTGTGATGTGTGTTTGTGATGAATGTGCAGGAGGGCCTTCAGAAGGAAAGCTGATCCCAGGAGACGAGATAGTGATGATAAATGAGGAGGCCGTGAGTTCGGCTCCACGGGAACGAGTCATTGACCTGGTCAGGTACTGAACTCAATCAACTGGTTACTGCTGTTCTTCATCTACAACCTGTGTTATTCAGCTGAAGTCACTACATGCTGACAGACAATAACAGTACAGAGAGAGTCTTCATTGCTCAGTACAGACTGTGGTCCCAAAAAGAGTCAAATGTCATTGTATTAGATCAGGGTTTCTCAAACTAACCCTGATTCCATCTAGAGAATTTCACTTCCTTATCGTTGTCTTTCATTATTTTTTGCAGAAGTTGTAAGGAGTCCATCATCCTGACCGTGGTGCAGCCGTACCCTGTAAGTCAACATACTGACTGTTTTGCATGTTAGTTTGTCAGCGCTGTGGCTAATTTGATGATGCCGTTATCAACCAATAACACTGTGGTTAAATTCTTTAGAAGTCCACAGAAAACACTAATTAAAAAGTCTGCAGATCAGTGTTATTGTAGTTATTTCATGTTGTTTTCTTATCAGTGATACCCTATACAATATTTTTTGTTGATATGTTGAATATTTCCTGTTTTCACTTTAATTTTACTTAAAGTTTTAGTAATTTTTTTTTGTCATTATTATTTTTTTATGTTTAGTTTTGATTAATTGTTATTTATTAGTTTTCATTATTTTAGTACTTAAACTTATTTTATTTCAGCTAGTCACCAAGGCATCATTTTCATTTGGTTTTAGTTGTGCTTCTGTAATTTTTTATTATTTTTTTTATATATATGTAGTATATTCACTTTTATTTATTTGTTTTAATAATTGTAATACTTATTTTATTTCAGCTAGTTGCCAAGGCACCATTTTCATTTAGTTTTGTTGTGTTTTTGTCTTTGTTTTAATGTTTATATTTTGTTATTCCTTTTTATTTATTAGTTTTAATTATTTTAATACTTATTTTATTTCAGCTAGTTGCCAGGGCACCATTTTGTTTAATTTTGTTTTTGTCGTTTTTATTAGTTATTTTTAATGCTTATATAGTTGTATTCATTTTTATTTATTAGTTTGAATTATTTTAGTACTTCAATTTATTTCAGTTAGTTGCTAAGGCACCATTTTTTAAATTTTTGTTCAGTTTAAGTTTTTTTTTTTTATATTATGTTTCAGTTAAGTACATGACTTTATTGCAAGGAACAAAAATATATTTTTTTATGGTTTTAGTTTTAGTTTACGCTAATAACCCTGCTGCGGATTCCATCTGGATCTGCTTCTTATTTTCTGGCTCAGCTCTTAGGCAGAAGATAATGACTTGATAGCATTGATATTTCAGTAATTTTCCTGCTTTTGTTCCTCTGTTATTCCCATCCAGTTGCCCAAATCTGCCTTCATCAGTGCAGCTAAAAAGGCCAAGTTGAAATCCAATCCGGTCAAAGTGCGCTTTGCTGAAGAAGTCATTATTAACGGACAAGAACCTGTAAGTGAAAAATAACACGTTTTGTTTAAAAAGCATGTCATATATCACAGTATTTACAGCTGTTTCAAAGGGTTTATTTTAAGTGTAAAGATCTAAATTGTCTTTCGCAACCAATTTTACTTGCGTAATCTGACATTTCTGAGTGAAAACCAGATATTCAGTGAGACACACTTTAGGGTTTTGATTATAATCATCTGAGATTGATTGGATTGTGAAAAGTGGACGTTATGCACCAGAATGAAGTCATGTGATTAGAATAAGAGGATTGATGTCATCAGCCGGAAAGTGATTTTAGCTCTAGAGCAAATTTTTGCATTGTGATGAAAGATTATGAAGACGCACGTTACATAAATCAGTGTTCATTCATACTGTATGTCTTAATTAGTGGCACAACAAGAGGTTAATGATTCATCACAGGGATGTGAATCACTGACAGATCAGCGAACAGATGAAAGCCACTTTAGCTGTGTATTATTCAGGAGATATTAGAAACATGACGGAGTGTTTTCATCTGCAGGATACTGTGAAGGATAATTCTCTGCTCTTCATGCCAAACGTCTTGAAGGTGTATCTGGAAAACGGACAAACAAAGTCCTTTAGGTTTGACTGCAACACCTCCATTAAGGTATTTCAGCATTGCAGTATTTACAAATCACTGTTGATGCTCCATATCAGCAAAAATACTCTGCAGTATATATGGAGTAATACAATTAATGGTAGCAAGCAATTTTTTTTTTAAATAAATTAATACTATTATTTATCAAGGATGCATTAAATTGATTAAAAGTGACAGTGAAGACATTTATAATGTCATAAAAGATTTATATTTCAAATAAATGCTGTTCTTTTGAACTTTCTGTTCATCTGTGAATCCTGAAAAATATAATGTATCACAGTTTGCACAAAAACATACATCTGCATAACTGTTTTCAACATTGATAATAATTAAAAATGTTTCTTGAGCAGAAAATCAGAATATTAGAATGATTTCTGAAGATCATGTTACTCTGAAGTCTGGAGTAATGATGCTGAAAAATCAGCAACGCATCACAGAAATAAATTACATTTGAACAGATATTCACATAGAAAAAAGCGGTTTTAAATTGTAATAATATTTAACAATTTTTACTGTATTTTTGATCAAATAAATGCAGCCTTGGTGAGCCCTAAAAAAATCTTACCGAGCTCAAATTTTTAAACGGTAGTGTATTTTATGCAATATTGCGTAATTTGAAAGTAAATCAAATATATTTGAAAACGTATAATTGACAAGTCTGATATTAGACAAATATACAAAATGTACAAATGTGTAAACTTATGTACGAATGCAAATATTAGCTTCAAAATAAATCCCTCTGACTTGATTGTAAGTAGATTGTATTACATTTTAAAATGTTCGTAATCAGAATACAGTTACTTTGTATGGATTACATGACTACATATTCACACAATATACAGTATATATATATATATATATCAATATGGTACACAATAATCCCATTTAAATCTATGTGATAAACAGGTTAGGTCAGAAGTAATCAAAAAGTAGTAGGAATACATTAACTAAACTGAGTAAGCTAATCGATTGTTAATAACTACAATTTGTAATCAGTAACAAACTGCTATTTGCAAGTAATCGACCCACCACTGTATGTGTAATAGAAAATGTTTGTTCATTTCTACAGCCATTTCTAATGCTGTTAGCATGTCACGTGTTGGTGGTGTTGAACATGAATAACAGATGTTCTTCTGTTTGAAAGGATGTCATTCTGACCCTGCAAGAGAAGCTGTCTATTAAAAGCATTGAGCACTTCTCTCTGACGCTGGAGCACAAGATGGAAGGATCTGCAACAAAGCTAATGCTTCTGCACGAGCAGGAGATGCTAATGCAGGTTTGTTGTGCTGGTGAATGATGTTTCTGAGCCACTACTGAATCTGAGTGACACAGCATGATGCTGAAGCTTCAAGCAGTTAAATATGATGAGAGAATAAATAGAGAAATATATTAATGAATGATTGTTTTTTAGGTGACGCAAAGGCCGGGCTCACATAAAATGAAATGCTTTTTCCGCATCAGTTTCCTTCCAAAAGATCCGGTGGATCTTCTCAGGAGAGACGCTGTTGCGTTCGATTACCTCTACATTCAGGTAACACATCTTTTGAAATGTAGTCTTTTAAAACTGAACACCGGATGCTTCCCATTCTCATCCTCAGAAAAAATATCCATATTATTCAGCCTGATATATCAGAAACCAATAATGAATTCATATCAGATTTTGTTCGTTTATCAGGTTTACATTTAACGTTATTTATTGAATTTCTTTATGCAATGTTTGTGCAATTAGAAGATGCAGTGTGATACAAAATAATCAGCATATGCATGTAAAATTGCTATTGTAAATTGTAAGGAAGGATGTATCACTTTAAGAATATATGTTGTTCACAGTATAGTTGGTGTTAATGGAGTATGAACGGTGAAGGAGAGTCTTGTTTGTCATGTAGCCCTAATTGGGGTTATGATATTAAAGGAATAGTTCACCCAAAAATGAAAGTGTGCTCATCCTCAGGCCATCCAAGATTAGGATGAGTTTGTTTCTTCATCAGATTTGGAGAAATGTAGCATTGCATCACTTGCTCACCATTGCAGTGAATGGGTGCCGTCAGAATGAGAGTCCAAACAGCTGATAAAAACATCACAATAATCCACAAGTAATCCACACCACTCCAGTCCATCAGTTAACATCTGGAGAAGACAAAGGCTGAAACAAATCCAGCATTAAGACTTATTTAACTTCAAACCGTTGAGTCCATAATCCATAATAATGCTTTCTCCAGTGAAAAAGTGTTCTGGTCTGAATCAGGAGAGAAATCAGCACAGATCAAGCAGCGTTTACAAAACAAAACAATACAAATATGTGGCTGGATTTTGATGTGAGAGACAACAGGAGATGCACTTATTCACTGAGGAAGCGTTATTATGGATTATGGACTCATATTTTAGCCAGAAACAAGTTAAAAATATATTAATGCTGGATTTGTTTCAGCTTTTGTCTTCTCCAGATGTTAACTGATGGACTGGAGTGCTGTGGATTACTTGTGGATTATTGTGATGTTTTTATCAGCTGTTTGGACTCTCATTCTGACGGCACCCATTCACTGCAGAGCATCCATTGCTGAGACACTGATGCAATGCTACATTTCGCCAAATCTGATGAAGAAACAAACTCATCCTAATCTTGGATGGCCTGAGGGTGTCATTTTCAGCCAATTTCCATTTTTGGATGAACTGTTCCTTTCAGTTTGTCACATCTGAGGGAAGGGTTACGCCTGCTAAACCACGCTGTGTATTTATTCTGGTTTGCAGAGCTGTAAGGACGTGGTGCAGGAGCGTTTCGGCTCTGAGCTCAAATACGACACAGCGCTTCGCCTGGCTGCTCTCCAGATGTACATCCTGACGCTCAGCACCAAACAAACACAGAAAGTCTCACTGAAATACATTGAGTGAGTGTTCAGCGGTCATGGAGTAACTCAGACAAAATAAAAAAAAAATGTTATACTCGCCTTCATGTTGTTCCAAACACAAATACACAAAACAATTTTATAAGAGCCTTCATGCAGCATTTTTTTCTGCACAATGACTCAAACTCCAAGAAGGACAAAAATATAAGTCAATATGCAGATTTCAGAAATGTGTTTTATTTGTCAAGCACTTAAAATTACTTGGAATATAGTGAACTAGTCATATGAGCTACTTCTACAGTGCTTTTTATGTTTTTTTGGTGGTGATCAAATGTATAAATCAACTTTCAATTAAAAAAAAAAGTGTGGTTTTCACTCAGAAATCACTGGTAAACTTCACAAATAATTACAAAGGTCAAGTAACCAGGGATACTATTAACTTAGACTAAATCTGAAACTAAAACCATTCAAATTTTCATTTTCATTCATATTTCAGCAAAAAATTTGCCAACATTGCTTAATTTTATTTAGTTTTACTTGATGTACTAAAACGATTAAAACGAAAACTGAAATAAAAATGAATAAAAACTATATAGACCTATTTATAAAAAATACAAATACTACTAAAAAGGACAAAAACACACAATAAAATTACTAAAACTTCAACTAAAATTAAAATGAAAACTATATAGAAATATAAAAATAAAAAAAACAATTAATAAAAATTATATCTCAATACTAAAATAAATAACTGAAATAAAATAAAAATTTATTTCAGCTAGTTGCCAAAGCCAATCAACTTAATTTAACCTGTACTAAAATAACTATAAGTAAAATAAAAATTAATAAAAACAATGTAGATATAAAAAAAACAACAAATACTACTAAAAATGACAAACGCAACAAAATTACTAAAACTTTAACTAAAATTAAAATGAAAACTATATAGAAAAATAAAAATGCATTCAAAATATTAATAAAAACTATAATAGTATCTCAATAATAAAATAACACTGCGAGTAACACATTCAATTAAATGTGAAATTTTGAAGTAGGAACACTGATCGTTTTTTTCTTGTAAAACACACATCTTTCAATTTCTACACTATATGAACAGCAGAAGCTCAGATGTTCTTCCTAATCTTCTCCATTTGTGTTTCACCAAAGAAAGAAAATGATTGGGGTTTGAGCTGCATGAGGGCGAGGAAAAAGCTTCGACTGGTTGTTCCTTTAAATGAGAAGAAAAGATGAAAGGCGTTTGACTGATGTGACAAGCGTTTGAATTCAGCTTGAAAGCTCTTGTGTCTTTACAGAAAGGAGTGGGGTCTGGCGCAGTTCCTGCCTCCAGCGGTTCTGTCCAGCATGAAAGAGAAGAACATCAAGAAAGCGCTCACACACATCCTGAAAACCAACCAGAACCTGGTGCCTCCTGGCAAAAAGGTGAAGAAACTTTCACAGCCCGATGTACATATGAAAAGTGGAATTCAAATCGATCTTTTCATTGAAAATCCTGATTCCTCAATGCATAATATAATACTGATTAGGATTTTCACAACAGCAGTACCAGTCAAATTTCACGAGTCTCAGCACAACTATCATAGCAAAGACTAATACTGTATGCTGTTGAATATAACGCTTTATTTAAACATTTTTAGCATATACAAGCATATATAAATAGACTTGTATTTAAATATAAAAATTGTATGGAAGAAAAATAATGAGAAATATGTTTGAAACAAAAAAAGCACGTTGAATTGCTCTAACTGAAACAAATAATGCATTGTATATATATATATATATATATATATATATATTATACACATTGTATATAATAATGCATTATCATATTGTAAATAATTAATATTCAATTGTAAATAATGCATTATTTTTTCAGTTAGTTCAATTCAGCATGCTTTTTTGTTTCATTAGTTTTCTTCCATAAAATTGTATGTATTTATCTATCAACAAGTCCGTTTTAAATTAATATATATCTATGTGCATGTTATAATTTTTAGTATTTATATGTGCTTATATATCATATACTGTATATGCTAAAAAAATATTGTATCTTTTTTATTTAAATTTTTTTTTAGAATATATGTGAGATATAAGCAGATATAATATATAATTAATTGAAAACCAAGATTAAAATGTAATAAACAATCAGGTATAATGTACTGCATTATGTTTTATGTTATTGTGTATTGCACTATTATAATATTGTTATTAAGCATCTTGTAAGCACAGTCTGTCCTAGTTGGACTTGTTTTTCCCAGAGGCACATATTCAAAAAGCAGAAGAAAGAGTGCTCTATATATGTGATTGACACTTTCTGTTCCCTAATTCTGCTGGGATTTGTGCTGTGTGTTGAAGCTGACGGCGCTGCAGGCGAAGGTTCACTACCTGAAATATCTGAGTGATCTCAGGCTGTACGGAGGACAAGTGTTTAAGTCCACGCTGGTCGTAAGTGCAAAGATACGCATTCTCAGAGCTGTCATTACATCAGCAGCTGAGACCTTTCAGTGCAGATCCAGATGTTTAAAGGTACAGGTGTATTTCAGAAAGGTTCAAACAACTTTTGAGCAGATTCAGGCCAATAAACTATTTTCATTTCCTAGCATATGAAGTATATGAATTTTATTTATTGCTGTTTTGCTGTTATTTCTGTGTTTTTTTTTAAATACAATTATTTCTAATGATTTTACTGTATCTTCTTGTTAGTCAAATAATTAAATTATAAACAAATCAATAATGATTCACACTGTATTTTTGTTTCTAGCTTAAGTATAGGATTTTTTTGTTTTGCTTTTATTTCTGTTTTGTAAAGACAATTTGATTTCTAATGATTTTATTTTTGTTAAAAATATAAGTTATAAACAAATAATGTTTCACACTATTTTCATTTTCTAGCATATGACGTATGATTTTTTTTTTTTTAGTTTTGCTGTCATTTCTGTTTTGTTAAAAAAATATTTCTAATAATTTTATAATCTTGATAAACAATGATTCACACTGTATTTTCATATTCTAGCATGTGAAGCATATGATTTGTTTTAGTTTTGCTGTTATTTCTGTTTTGTAATGAAAATATGATTTCTAATAATTAATATAATAATAGTATATATATAAATAATAATATTATAATTAATAATAATTCTAATAATTTTATTTTTGTTCAATATCAAATTATAAACAAATCAATATTTCACACAGTATTTTCATTTTCTAGCATGTGAAGTTGTGATTTATTTATTTATTTAGTTTTGCAGTTATTTCTGTTTAGTAAAGAGAGCTTGATTTCTAATGATTTTCATGTTAAAAATTATTATTAAATTATAAACAAATCAAAAATGATTTCACTGTATTTTTGTGTTCTAGCATCATTTTCTATATGATTAGTTTTTTGTTTTGCTGTTATTTCTGTTCGGTAAAGAGAACTTGATTTCCAGTATTTTTTTGTTTAAAAAATGTATAAGCTCTTTGCCAAATTTAACTAAAGAAGTTGACAGATCAAGGATAAATATTTTTTTTGTTGAGCTCTGCAAACATTATAGATTTTAGATTTACAAATATACTCCTCTCTATTATAACTTGCACTTATTTAAATGATAATACAAATGTGTTGTTTTAGTACATTAGCTTCAGGTGCTGAAATCTGAAGCCAATTCAAGCATGTTTCACACAGTTGTATTTGTGATCTGACAGCAAGGAGAGAAACACACGGAGGTGACGCTGCTGGTGGGGCCGCGCTACGGCATCAGTCACGTCATCAACACCAAAACCAACCTGGTGGCGCTGCTGGCCGACTTCAGCCACGTCAACCGCATCGAAATGTTCACGGAGGACGAAAGGAACGTGCGAGTGGAGCTTCACGTCCTGGATGTTAAGGTGCGATTGATAAAAACAAAGAAGAGTATCGTGTGTTTGCAGAAAACACTTGATTTAATATTTTTTTCTCTCTAATGCAATGACATTCAAACATTTTTAAGTGTAGCTAAATATTTTTTTTTGGTTATTGACCTCCACATGCATTACACATTATAGCAATATTAAGGACAACATCCCTTTTATTCCGTATGCCTTTCATCCAGTTGTGATAATGAAATCATTAATTAATAATTCATATTAATTCATGGGGAAGTCGTGGCCTAATGGTTAGATAGTCGGACTCGTAACCCAAAGGTTGCGGGTTCGAGTCTCGTACCGGCAGGGATTGTAGGTGGGGGGAGTGAATGTACAGCGCTCTCTCCCACCTTCAATACCATGACTGAGGTGCCCTTGAGCAAGGCACCGAACCCCCAACTGCTCCCCGGGCGCCGCAGCATAAATGGCTGCCCACTGCTCCGGGTGTGTGTTCACGGTGTGTGTGTGTTCACTGCTGTGTGTGTGTGCACTTAGGATGGGTTAAATGCAGAGCACTAATTCCTAGTATGGGTCACCATACTTGGCCACATGTCACTTTCACTTCACTTCACTTTCACTTCATATTCACAATTGCATTACTTTATAAAACAGATAGTTAAGGCAGTATGCATTATTTTAAGTTTGCAACATTGCTTTGCATGTGTGAACTAAAAACAATATTACTTCGACTATTAATATTGATCAATTATTGATCAATTAAAACTATTTATTGACTATTTACCACATGCATTGCTACAATTGGATACAATTTTAAAGACGCATAACAATTCAACATGCCTTTTATTCAATGCTTATTATGAAAATATAAATGCAATATATAAAGTTTGCTTCATTGCTTTGTAAACATGAACTAAAAACTATATTGCTTGTCAGATTATTTTTGATTATTATTAAATTATTGATAAACTATTTATTGCCTACTTACCACATGCATTACACTAGTTTAATTCAACACATAATTCAATATCCCTTTTATCCAGTGCCAATGAAAACATGAATTAATAATTAATAGTTACTGACATATGCATGCTTCATTTTATAAAACGGATGGTTAGGTCAATAAATGCAATACATTTGCCACATTGCTTTGCAAGCATGAACTAAAAGCTGTTAATATTAATGAATGTAACTATTTATTAAAAAAAAAGAAAATGCAGATGCTACCGTTTTTTTAAAAGAGCAATAAGCTGCTCAAAGTCATTTGTTACTGTAATTTAACCACCGCTAAGGGAGTTTTAGGATCACTAAAATAATTTTAACTGCACAGCCTCCCATTGCTTACTGCTGTATTTACTGATTATTTATGCATTTCTTCTGCAAAACATTTCTTCCTGTAGCCCATCACACTTATAATGGAATCCAGTGACGCTATGAACCTGGCGTGTTTGACTGCCGGTTATTACAGGCTGCTGGTCGATTCACGGAGGTCCATCTTCAACATGGCGAACAACAGTAACACTGCAGGTAAGAGCATGTGCATGCACTAAATAATATATAACAGTTAATTTTTCATCTTGAAATCAACTCAACTCAAAGTAGCATCAGCAAACTTTAAAGGGGTCATATGATGCTTTTTTAAAGATCATTATTTTGTGTATTTGGTGTAACAGAATATGTTGACATGCTTTAATGTTCAAAAAACACATTATTTTTCAAATACTGTACATTATTGTAGGTCCTCTATGCCCCGCCTCTCTCAAACACGTCGTTTTCAACAAAGCCCCTTCCTTTGACAAGCGCAGTCTGCTCTGATTGGCCAGCTGACCCAGTGCATTGTGATTTGCCGAACACCGCAAGCACTCGTCGGAAATGTAACGTCCCTTACCATAATCGCGAGCTTCATCTTCACACAGCGTCTCTCTGACATGGCTGCTTCAACACTAACTGCGGTTACTGAAACCACGCCTTCTTTCTTTGCGTGAACATTTGGGCGCATTATGCAAATATTCCCACATAGTGACCTAGATATGTGGGGGCGTGTTAGAACGAGCCGTTTTAGGGGGGTGTGGCAGAGTCTTAACTTTGATAAAGAATATCTCTTTGATTTTGAGACTTTAATCTTTGCAACTTCAGGGATCTTATCTATTCACGAACAGCTTGTAATACTCCAAAGAGAAAGGAAAACTTGAAATCGCATCATATGACCCCTTTAAGTGATGAATTTATGGTTAACACTTTACAATAAGGTTCCATTAGTTAAAGTTGATTAATGCATTAACTAACATTAATTAGCAATGAGCAATACATTTGTTACAGTATTTATTTGTTATGGCAAATTATGTAACAAAAATACAGCTGTACATTGTTAGGTCATGTTAGTCTATTAAAATAATATGAACAGGTATTTTTGGTTTTAATAATGCATTATTAAATGTTGAAATTAAATTAACTAAATTAACATGCAAGATGCAAACTGAATAATTATTTTCCCACTTCAATAACTATTGTTTTTATTGAAGAACACACAGTTCTTGAAACTTCTGTAATCACAAAATCAATCATGATTAAATTAATTTAATATACTGTATCAACACTTACAGTTTCTGTTAACAAAATAGTTTGAAAACAACCAGCTTTGTCATAATTACAGCTGACATACTTGACAAAAATATTTTTGCTAATATAACAGAATATTTTGGCCAATATAATGGGCCTTGGAATATTATGTTGGACAGTGGGTGTCCTAAGAGTCAAAAAGTTTAAGAAACCACTTAATTAAATTGTTTTGGTGTGAATCTGATACTTTAATAACTCATTGACACTGGTGTCTTCTCCTTTTTACGTCTAAGGACAAGACGCAAGGGTCAAGCACAACTACCAGGCAATTGACTGGAATTACGGTTCCTGCAGTGCATGTGATGAGCCCCACCACGAATACGCCATCTGTGGGCGAAGAGAGTTTGATATTTCCCCCACAGTCTCTGAAATGCACCAGCCGCAGCATCGCATGCACGGGGACGAGAAAGCGGAGAGGGTGAGCAGAGGAAGCCACATGCATCCTCAGCCCTACTTCAGTGTCCCAAAAGGCAAACCTCAAGAGTCGCCCAGAAGCGCCAAAGTGTCCTTCATATTCAGCGATCCTCCACTGGACTTTGTGAACCCTCAGAACTTGGGATACCAAAGACTGATGGAGGACATCCCAGAAGTGCTGGAGGAACACCGGTACATGTACGCACAACAGAAGGACTACAAGCCGCTGGAAGCATCAATGGAGGTCGACGGCTTCCAGTACGGTTCCAACATGGTCTATGGTGACGCCAAGATCTTCGGTATGACGGAAGGCATCGAGGAGCCTTTGCTGCGCGATATCTGCTACGCCGAGACTACGGATGACGCCGAGGATGACGACGACATTAGTTGCGAGGAGGACATGATGATGATGATGATGGAAGAGATGAAGGACAAGGTGAACTCTCTCCTGTCGCTCTCGGAATCGAGCGACGACATTATTGACCTCACTTCGCTTCCGCCGCCACCGGAGGGCGACGACGAGGAGGACAGCGACGACCTGCTGCAATCGCTAAACTTGGCAATTGCCGCTCCGCCACCAGGGTTCAGGGATAGTTCAGATGAAGATGATCACCAAGAGCGAAAAGGCTTAAAAAATGACATCCCTGTGTCGCTGATCGATTCGGTTCCAACGCAAGTGGCCGGTAGAACCGAGGAAGTGTTCAATGACGCCGTTGTCTCCACACTACAAGCTCTGGAGGCCTTGGCAGCCTCTGAGGAACAGTCTCATCCACAATCGGACAATAGTTCAGGTTCTTACACTATAGTAACGTTTATTCATTGACGTTGTACAACCTTCCAGCCATTCCTTTATTTTGGTTTCGTTGTTCCGTATTCCATTGTCTTCAATGCAAACCCCATGCCATGTATTGTGTGTGCATTTGCTCTATTAGCAATGTAAATGTGATCTCCTTATAATTTGTGGTTCATTTTTGTTCATGTATTTCATTATTTATGTTCTTATTTGTTGCATTTCATAGCCTTCAACGTTTTGTACAAATAAACTATTTTAAAATATATGTGTTTATGGTGTGATGGCTAAAATGTTTGTCTCTTTGTGACACACAGGTGTAGAAATATCTCGGTCCTTTAGCCCTGAGTCCTCCTCTGATTCTGGGAACGAGACAAATTCGTCAGAAATGACGGAGAGCTCGGAGCTGGCCGCAGCTCAGAAACTCTCCGAAAATTCTCTGAAAATGTTAGTAGCCACGGCCGAAGGGTATCAAACTCTAGCCGAAGAGGAGACCGAGTTTCGATTGGTGCCGTGTGAGGTCCGGGCGTCTCTAGACGACTCCCAGTCCGCCGCGGTTGCCACTCTCCGCTCGGACCATTTCGAAATGGAGCCAGAAACAATGGAAACCAAGTCGTTGACGGACTACTTCAACAAAATGCACAGGGACGTGATGATGGGAATGTCACAGGGGAAGATCAAGGAGCAAGACGGCGGGATGAAATTGTGCGACCAAGCGGAAGCGCGTCAGATGAATATCACAGAATCGGAGGATCTTGTTGGGATGTACAACAACTTCAATGGACGGGATTCCCAACGTTCAGGTCCCTTTGACTTGGAGAGGATGTCTTACGCTTTTCAAGAAAGCAATCAAAGATTGCATATGATTTTGAATAATAAATCTGAAGAGCATATTTACTCTGAGGTGGTTGGCGATGGCGGTCCGTTGCATGCAGACAGGGTAACGCAAAAAGTCAGTTTGAAGGACTCGATAGACTTGAACACAAGTTCCCCCGCCAAAAAACAATATATGATTGAGAGAGCCCGGAACGAACATCAACAGCGCAAGGTGGCTTCATCCGAACAGGAAGTGACACGGTTATACGAGTACCACTTGTCCAAAAGGATGTCGTCTTTACAGAGCGAGGGAATTCATTCCCTGCAGAGTTCCCAGTGTTCGTCCATCGATGCCGGCAGCAGTACAGGAAGCAGTAGCTGTGTGACACCAATGGACTCTCCTCTGTGCACGGTAGATAGCGTCCATCTGCATGGAGAGTCCTCTCTGAAAGGTCTTGGATATCCAAATCAGAACGTAGATGAAACGTTTTTGCGGAAGCACCATGGACAGGCTGGCCAAGTGTCGGGCCGAGAGGGATGCCAAAGGTTGCCCAAGATCAGAGAAACTACAGGTACTGCAAGCTTGAAACTTTAACAAGTCAAATGTTACATTCGACTAACCTAATGACACGGTTATATTTCTGTTCATTTCTGTTACGTAGAAACTGCAAAGCTTGACCATGTGGAATTAGAGACTCACATTGTTGGTCAGCAGTTGAATCATTTAACAATTTGTTGGAGCTGGTGAGCAAGTTAAAGGTTTTTGTAGCCCTCGTCTTGATTTAAACTGAAGCTAACCTAATCTGACTAATTGTCCCACAAAGTGTTGGGAAAGCTAGCTTGAACAGAAGTTTTTGAAGTACTGTGAGTTTCAGTATATTCTTCATTATAACTTCTTTTGCCTTGCATAACTAATGGTAAAAATACATTTCCTTTGACATACGATACTACTTAATCATGAATAGCATAATAGACATTTTTATGAGAAACTGTATTTGAAATGAATAAGGATCATTAAATAAATTTTTTTATTAAATAAGTTAAATAAACAACAAGAACACAATAAATGTATTTATTATGACTAATTTTATTGGACACATGCACACAGAAGCGCAGAAGTGTTAGGTTGGGTTCATTAACAAAGAAATTAATCACATAATATTCTCTCTCTTAAAATGTAAATGAGTCTAACTGTCAATCTTATACTGTATGTCTAAAGAATTTAAGTTTGTCAGGTAAAACAAGAGCTTATTAATGCAATTCAATTTGATATTTTATTCCAACCGTTACTCCTGGTCAGAGGCTTCCATAAATAGTTATGTTTTAACTGCATTTAAAGGTGCAATGGAAAAACATTTAGTAGTGCATAAGTTGCAACTTAGTACTCCTTTATGTCAAAACTAGGCTAAGTTGTAATTTGCGCAAAACTGGCGCAACTGGCCCCTGGACTCTTGCCCACTAAAGGACATACAAGTTGTTGTTTTGAAGTCATTCCTGTGTATCTTTGGGTTTCTACTTGGGGTCTTGCTGGAAAACTAATTTTCCTTGAGTACCAGGTGTCTTGCTGACTCCATCAGGCTTCATGATTTTCCTATATTTTGCTGCATTTGTTTGGCCCTCCAGCCTCAAAACCTTCAAAAGAAGATCCTCACAGCATGAGTCACTGCGGAGACGGTGTATTTCTGATTATACATTATTTGGCTTATGCTAAAATGTTGTTTGGTCTGATAGGTTAGTCTTCAGAGGCTCCCACATGTTTTCTGGCATAACTGTAACAGAGATATTGCATGATGTTTTTAACAGTAGCTTCTCTTCAGCGGTAGCAGCAGTTGTTATTTGCACAGTCTTGGAGCTTGTAACTCTTTCAGACTTGTCATTGGTCTCTTGGTGTCTTCCCTCACCGTCTCCTCCTTGCACAGTGACACACCGTTTGAGGACGCCCTGCTCTTGGTGCATTTACTGCTGTGTCATATTTTCCCATTTCTTAATTATCGATTTAACTGCTACTCCAAGGGAAGCTCAAAGACATGGAAATCCCTGCCTGGAGCTTTTCAATTACTGTTTTGTAGAGCTGTTAGAGGTTTTTTTCTTCATGGTCTTCCACAGTGATGACTCACTTATGCTACAATCAGTTGAAGGTACTTGAGTACACAAAAGCTATTTAACTTATGTGACTAACAACCAAAAGTTTGCACCAGTGGCGAGTCTGACATGTCATATTAAACCATAGCAATTATAAAAGGGCATGGAAAAAAAATACTATGGAAGTCAATGGCTATCAGCAACTGCTTGGTAGCCGACTTTCTTCAAAATATTTTCTTTTGTGTTCAACAGAAGAAAGGAATTCTAACCAGTTTGGAACAACATGAGGATGAGTAAATGATTACAAAACACATTTTTGTGTGAACTATTCCTTCCACTACCGTTTTAAAACATAGTTAGCTACACTTTTAGTTAGTAATGAAAAGTAGCTAACTACATTTAAGGGTGCAGTGTTTTTGTGTTATGAAAATAGCTGTGCAAATGAATTAAATTGATGTTTAATATTGATTAAAAATATCCACGCTTTAGAGTCAGTGTGCTGTAAGTCAGCAATTCTATACGGTACCACTAGTGGCGCAGAAATGGACCACTTCACCTTTTAATCAGGAATTACTATTTTGCAGATTTTAAGTCTTAGGATGTAATTAGAATTCCCTGATTTGAAACATTAAGCCTCGTGTAGACCGTTTCTGAAGTATCCTGGGCAGGCTTATCATTGACGTCATTCATTTCGGTCATTAGCTTATCATGCTGAATCAGGATGAGCAGGAACTCTGAGGGGGATTTCAGAGATCCAGAAGCATGAAATTATGAGACATTATACTGGCCGACTAATTATCCCTCTCTTTTTCCTCCCCCAGTGTAGCATGCTGCAGATGGAGATAAAACAGAAGAATCGTCATCTTCTCTCACGATATGTCCATATTCATCCATAGCACAGTTTCCTATGTGCCAAACCAGAGGTGATCTGAGGTCTTGAATGCTTCCCATGTTTATTCTTGTACTTGGCTTCAAATGACCCCCGCTCTTGTTGCCTCAGGGAGCCAGAAAGGGAATCTTAATAAGACAACTATTGGCTCAGGGAGCATTTATACTTTTTATGGAAACTGCAACTTGTAGATGGCGGTGATCAACCATGGAAGGATTACAACCCTGTCGTTCCTAAAGTCAACATGAAACTCAAAACCCATGTTACTGCCATAATGTGACACTTTGTTGTATCCACCAGATTTGGATTGCGAAAAGTAGGCATTTTGTGCCAGAATTGTTGGAGAGGAGTTGGAATGACACGAATGTGCATTAAGAAAGTAAATGGGGTGAATTTTGATTTCTTGTTGACTTTAATCTTCTGAAGTGGAAGCGAATGACAGATGGTTTGATGTTCATCACAGAAAACAAGTTTAAGACAACAAGCATTGGAACAAGGCAAGTCCATCTCCTGATTCTTTTGGACGACACACAATCCAGACATACGAACTGTGCATTGCTCTGAGAAATTCTTGCACTGGTCACTTAATATGTCGATTTTAGCCACATTTCTCAAAGACAGCATGTGCGGAGCTTTTGTGCTCTGAGGATTTTTTGTTAAGCAGCAAAAGGACATTTTGAAGTGCTAGTTGGAGCGATTCAGGAAGTCACTTTATTTACTTTGCGTGGAGGCTTTGGAAAGTTATTTTGATGACCAAAGCAAAACTACATTTGCATTCGGTACGCTGTTATTTGGTTGCAGCAATGGCCATATGTCAAAAATCACTGCTTTTATTTAGCCATATTAAAGCCATATGATATCACGCATACTGTACGTTTGTCATGAAGATTGAGATAATCCGGCCATTGCGATCCACTGTGATAACAGTGCTTGTGTATATTTTGTGTAATATGTAAAATGAAAAGGAAGTATTCTACAATACATAGAATTTTTAAAAGACCGTTTAAACCACATCACCTGATAGACGCATCCTTTTTGTTCTATGTGTTTATTTTAAACTTCATAACAGAAGAGCTTCACATTCAAAAATATGAAAATTTAAGCCACTATATTATCTGTAAACTGTTATTATGTTCGCAACTTGCACAGTTTCATTTGCCGTTCTTATTTGACTGGCTAATGCATATATTTACTTAAGTAATTTAAAGTCAACATGAAGTATCATTCTCCATCTATTTTACTACTGTCATCTGACATATTTCCCAGTGTAATTTTATCAAGAAAAGGACAGGATTTTATCTGTGAGGATGGTGAAAGTGAATGATAAATCATTTTTGAGCTTAAGTTACTAAATTTTGATGAAATATTACAACAGATTGTTGTTATTTATTTAGAATAACATGCACTGATGAGTCATTCCCAGTAAGACCAGGAAAGTTATTTAAGAATGTAAGTAGGTCCATTTTGATTTCATGTTGACTTTAAATAATAAACGTAATGTATTTTAGTTGAATCATCTTCATTAAATATTTCAGCTTGAAAACTGATCTCGTGCTGTCTTTCTTTTATTTCCTGTCATATGCCAGTAATTAATTTATAAATAGCGTGTGAATGACATAGTTTGAAATATTCTTCCCTCTTTCTTTTCTCTAAGTTTTCTTCCTCTCCTTGTGTGCTGAAGAAGCCACTGTTGTGTTGGACAGAGATAATATTTTTGGTCATTTCATAATTGAAGTGCTTCACTTTTTCTGGTTTTGCTTTCATTTATGAGGAAATCATAGCAGAACTTGAGCAAACCCCTGACATTGTTTTGCTTAATCTCTAGTGCAGAAACTCGTCCCATGAGATAAAGGACGAAAGTAATGTTGTTCCTCTTTATGGTGGTGTTTCAGTGACAATATTGTTCTAATGACATATAATTAATTATACATCATAAAAATGTAAGATAACAATGCTGATAGGTAATAGTTAGGTAATATCACTTTACATAATTACAAGGAAAAATATTAAGAACAACTTTGTTTGCAAGGGGAAGTTATGTTGTTTAAATATATCCACTCTCACTTTTGTTTGTAATTTTTTTGTGGTTTAACGTTGGTCAATAACACCTGTTCTTCAAGTAGCACAGGGTGTACAACTTGACAAACCAGCAAAAGTACCGAACAAGTCACGAACGTCAAAAAAGAATCCCAGGTCTGGTGAAGATGGTGAGTAATTGAATGTTTATTTCATTTACAGTAATCAGCTCTCTCATATAATGATTGTCTCAAAACAAAGATGCTCTGAGGTAGTTACTGCAAGTGCATTTTTTTAATATGCTGCTTATTCATTAAATGTCATATTTATTTCCTGAATGTTTTAAAATTTTTGTTATTTTAATTTATTTAAAACTATATCAGAAATATCAGCTAAACCAAAATCTACTTTTTGTTTTATATTTTGTGCACTGATTTGGGGGGGGGGGG